GTAAAGACCCTTTTTTGAGTTCCGATGATATTTGAACCCAAACCTTTGTTTGCAAAGTTCTTTATCTGGTCACTTTAGGCTTATTGGGTTTCATTATTATTTTCTTTTTTTGTTGAGTATACAAATTTACTTCATATAACTTAAAACGTTCAGCCACCATATAAGGTTTTTCATAGCCAATTCGTAAAGAAACAAATGCTATACATCTTTTTTGGGTGGGATTTTACATGAAGAAACTTAGCTGCTTTCTTGGCGAGAACGAAAAATTTGTGTAAGTAATGTAAGATATCTACCAACAAATACGAAGAGATCTTCGTATTCTCTCAGTTAAGGGTAATTTTTAAACTTGGCTCTCACTACGAACTTCATCCAAATGATTTCTGATTTAGTATTTTTTCACTAGTTTATCTTCACCTGTTTCTTTCAGTCTGTCCACTCCAAAGCATTGGCGATGGCGGAAAGAAATAGTACTTTTTATCCTATCTAAGTGTGCTCCCAATTTTATGCCTTAGCATTAACAACATTCGAATGAGCATTTTTAATGTTTACCTTAAACTGTTAAGGTGATACGCGCCAAGTTTCCCCAAAGAAAGTAGCCAACAAAACAGTTGAACGAGTATGTATGTATCTCTAAATGGTGTGATAATTTACTCACTGCACTGCTACAGCAAAGACAAACAAAAAGGATTTTGGTACTTGGCTTGACGAGAATGATGTGGGTTCGGCATGAAACTGTCTCAGATTTACGTTATATCCTCTCCGAGATGTAGGCTACTTGAATTTATGCCTTATAAATGCCAATTAATGATTTGTATGGTTGCATTATTGCAGTCTCCATTTTTTAGTCAATGAAAAAGCCATGAGCTCTCACTTGCCATCCCAGTATTTTGTATTTATAAGCCAATCTTGAGCTAATTGTAATACAATTTTTTAATGTTACGTTGTCGCATAATAAAAAAAATTATTTTCATGCTCCATTATCTATCTAGTTCCTGGGCCCCCAGAGAACGTTAACCTCGACGCAAACTTTGATCCTCCGCTTCTGAATTGGGCCAGCCCTTTAGTTCAGGGATCCGGACCAATCACTTTCTATCAGGCAAATGCCTCGTCAAGAAATCACACCATCTTCTATAACTCCATAGCTCCTCCATTGTCCATGGTAGGCCTACGGCCATGCAACTCATACGAAATTTCCCTGCAAGCAATCAACAATGAAGGTGGTGGACTCCCTTTTACAATGCAGCTCAACACTTCTGTCAAAGGTATGCGGACTTTGTTTTAACGAGGTGACAAGGAAATTAAATAGATGAACAAGATTTGAGCCGTTATATTTTGGCTTTTTGCATAAAAAGTAACCTTACTTTGGATTTATTCTTGGTTCATGCCAATAAACTCCATCATATTACATTTATATTAAAGGCTTTTTGTCAGATCCTATTTCTTCATCAATTATATTTATTAGGACAAAGAGATAAGTTAAATTGGCTGTTGATTTGATTATATGAAATTTATTCATCCTTATTTGTTTGAGGTGATAAGGGGACTGGTAATTGATTTTTTTCACAATGCCATGAGTGGACCTTACGTTCCCATTTCATTTTCCAAAAGGTATTCTCATCCAGATTGGGCTGTAGTTTCGACCTCATCTAGGTCTAGTAAGCACTCCAAGCGGGACTCAAACCATGAATGGGCTGCGTATAATCTCTACACGTTAACTACCACACCGCACTGCCGCGAGTGTCCACAGGGCAGGTGTGAATTTCAAGGAGGGCCAGGCATTTCCTTATATCACATTTTGTGGTGGGCTTGTCGATGAAGTTAAGTTGTAGTTGCCATATCAGTCGACTACATTCCTTATTAGAAATTGTTTGACCTTGTTTTCGTAACTTGGTCATATTAGTAGGGAGACTTGGAGGAACGCACTTAGTCCGTAGTCTATAGTAAGCATGACAATTTCCAGAGTCGGACCGTGGGCGTACATTCCCACGTGGGAATGTACCACATCCAGGTCAAACGACTTCTGTACAACGTTAAGGAGACTGAGACCATACAAAAGGCCACACCATCTTGGTCTTCATCCCTACATTACTTATTTTTCGTTTTATAAGCAGGTTTTCGAAATTACTAGTAGATCATATATATATGAGATGAAATTTGCTTGTCAGTACGCTTTTTTAACTTCGTTTTTAGCCGCTAGCCAGCCCAGATACTTTTTGATCTCAAACGTTGCAGGGACCTCAAGTCAAGAAATCCGCTGGAGGTACCCAAACTTCACAGCAATTCCCTGCTCCTCTGAATACGAAGTGCAGTATCGCGAAGTTAGCGCTTCTGTAGCTACTACTGTGGTATACAATGCGTCTATGATCGGTAAGCTACCAAGAACTAAACTAACCCGACTTTTATTATTTGTTCCATCCATTTCTGATGAAAAATGAAATGGAGTGGGGAAGCCATTAGTATTAATCCTCGTTCTAATTCTAAGCCTTAATGAACTGTTGATCAGCCAGGGGTTTTACGCTTTTTATCATTAAATCGATTTGCAGGCCAAGGCAAGTTATATGAAAGGTGAAAAGTTTCTATAACTAACTAATGACGGTATGGACACTATACACATACTGGCACCATACAGCTTGTTCTGGAGTCTTTATTTGACAGAGACCTGTTATAACCCCTATGGCAGCGGTAACGGAAAAATATTTTGCCGGCGTTGAGAAATCCTTTAGTCCAAATGTTTTGTAGCTGAACCTAAACCAGGATGAGCATCATATTTATAACAAAATATTAGTTGTATTACTCAGGAGGGACTTTTTTGGGATACGTTCTATACAGGATGGATCGTAGAATTTTGATCTTGCAACGCTTATCCAATTTAGTCATAATGAGTGGAATGAAAACCTTAGCTACTCCCGGTCGTTTTAGTTGAGGTAGGACTGATAGCTAAATTTTTACGCAATGGCATGTATAGACCCCACGATACCATTAATTTCACTTGGCCTTAGTTTCAATAAAGTGTTCTCATCCAGGCCACAGTTTTGACCTCGCCTGGGTCGTAAAGAATGATTAAAAAAGCGTTTTTGGTATTACAACAAATTCTGTTGTACTCACGTATACCTTCTGCAACAACTATTTGATAAGATACATTATCAAAAGCTCTCCTGTCTTTGTGTTCACATAATTAAGCCTTCAAGTATCCACGGTCAGGTTTTAAGTATTAATCCATACAGCATTGTTAAGAATGAACCTTTTTGACACTTGCATATTAACCAAAGAATTAACTATAATTATGTATTTTAATTTTCAAATATTTATCAATGTTACGAATTTTATCTAAATTTCAATCTTCAGGACCTGATTTTAATCACTATTGACCAGTTTCTGTCTTATGAGGAAGAGAAAAAAGTAATTTTTTACGTAAACAGAACACAAATTAAAGGGCGATGCTACGATGAAAATTGATCGAATTTTTCTAGTAATCAACAAATGAATCGCTCTAGTATTAGGGCCAGTTAAGGGAGTTTTATGTTAAGGTGAATATTAAGTTTTCCGCATACAAACTTTAGCTTGATAAGTAGGTTATTGATCAGGCAATTTATTCTGATTACTCTAAACTTCCATTTCAATTCCCTCACTATTTGAGCAGTATTAGTTAAATAATTCAACCATTTAACAAATGATTGCGCTAATGATATCGGATGAAATGCCAACTCTTCTTTTCAGTTGGGCCTTCAGTACGGGCTATTCCCACATCGCTATTATGCATATAAGTCTGTTTATAAGAATTTAAAAAATTCTTTACAAAATATCTCATAGTATCAACAGGAATTTATTCGCAAGCTCGTTTTTCTTCTTAGCTCTCCTTAAGTGATTAAAGACCTGATATATGCATCACCAAAGATACATTGAGATGGCCGAAAATGCCATTTACCGCTTGGAGACATCTAGGGTATACATATATATATATATAAGCCTAAATTTAACCTTAGTTTAATGACAAAATGATAGAATTTTCATCAAAATTGCTGTTTAAATAAATTTTATAATTTAATTCTTGGAAATTTTGATCAGCTCTGACTTTATTTACAAATTCCCTGATAAAAATAAAAAGCTTACGAAAATAGGATACATTAAATAAAATATTAACATTCCATCTTCAGTTGAATTAAACAAAATTTATTCGTATTACGCCTTAAGTGAATAGAAGTCCTTTTAAAATCTATGAAATTCCTATAAAGGCTACAGAAACGAACTGTCTCTTTAAGGCAGTAAAGATAGAAGGGGTCTGACATTGTTTTTGCAACTTAGTTGTGTTGTCAGGGCGACCAAGTTAGACGCAACTTGCCCAGAGTCCTCTCCTATAGAAGGTATGATAATTCCCAGCTTTAAGTATGTCAGGAGTAACTGACGATGCCAAAAAAATCTGGGAATGTACCAAGTTCACGGTCCAATGCTGGGAATTATCATAACCCGGAAAAAATGTGACCAATATGATATGAAGAAAAGTACTTTGTTGCACTAAAACTACTGGCATTCACTACTTGCTCATTTAGGATTTAAATCATTCGCCATACTGTGTTCCGAATCTGATAGTATTTTGAGACAATCGATAACTGTCTGTGAGGCGATGAATGACTCACATTTAACGACCAGTTTTACTAAATGAATACCTCCCATTGCCAAGTCCCAGTCATGCACTTTTTGAAATTTTTCTAAAATTTTCCTTACTCATTTATTTTAGCGTACAAAATAGAAAATTTGAGGCCACAGACTGTGTACGTCTATCGAATCCGAAGTGTAACAAATCCAGGAGGACTCTCCAGTGGATTCACGCCTTGGCGCAAGCGAAGAACTGGACCCGGAGGTGAGACGAATATAGTATTTACTAAACCATAAAACAGCATCCAGCGAATAATTCTATTTCATTTACCAATATATGTAAATTGACTTGAATAAAATGATAGTTAACGCTAGGATGAGAGCTTTGATAATAGGTTACGAGAAGTTAGCTCTTTACTATTTTATAAATAATGTTTTATTCATTAGAGGTATTCACCCTATTTCGTTTAAGGTGATGAAGGACTGGAAGTAGAATTTTCCAACAATGATATGGGTAGAGCTGACGCTTCCATTT